CTAATCTTCAACAAAGCAGGAAAGAATGTCCAATGGAAAAAAGACAGTCTCTTCAATAAATGGTGTTGGGAAAATTGGACAGCCACTGCAGAGGAATGAAACTGGACCATTTCCTTACACCACACACAAAGATAGACTGAAAATGGATGAAGGACCTCAACGTGAGACAGGAATCATCCTTGAGGAGAACACAGGCAGCGACCTCTTCGACCTCAGCAGCAGCCACTTCTTCCTAGGAACATCGACAAAGGCAAGAGAAGCAAGGGCAAAAATGAACTGTTGGGACTTCATCAAGATCAAAAGCTTCTGCACAGCAAAGGAAACAGTCAACAAAACTAAAAGACAACCGACAGAATGGGAGAGGATATTTGCAAACGACGTATCAGATAAAGGGCTAGTATCCAACATCTATAAAGAACTTATCAAACTCAACACCCAAAGAACAAATAACCCAGTCAAGAAATAGGCAGAGGACATGAACGACATTTCTGCAGAGAAGACATCCAGATGGCCAACAGACCCATGAGAAAGTGCTCCACATCACTCAGCATCAGGGAAATAAAATTAAAACCACAGTGAGATCCCACTTCATACCAGTCAGAATGGCTAAAATTAACAAGTCAGGAGACAACAGATGCTGGGGAGGATGCAGAGAAAGAGGAACCCTCCTACACTGTTGGGGGAATGCAAGCTGGTACAGCCACTCTGGAGGTTCCTCAAAAAGTTGAAAATAGAGCTACCTTATGGCCCAGCAATCGCACTACTGGGTATTTACCCTAAAGATACAAACATAGTGATCCAAAGGGGCACGTGCACCTGAATGTTCATAGCAGCAATGTCCACAACAGCCAAACTATGGAGAGAACCTAGATGTCCATCAACAGATGAATGGATAAAGATGATGTGGTTCATATATACAATGGAATACTATGCAGCCATCAAAAGAAATGAAATCTTGCCATTTGCAGTGATGTGGATGGAACTAGAGGGTATTATGCTGAGCGAAATAAGTCCATCAGAGAAAGACAATTATCATATGATCTCTCTGATATGAGGAATTTGAGAGGCAGGGTGGGGAGTTTGGGGGGTAGGGAAGGAAAAAATGAAGCAAGATGGGATTGGGAGGGAGACAAACCATAAGAGACTCTTACAAAACAATCTCACAAATCAAACGGAGTGTTGCTGGGGGTCGGGAGGTAGGGATAGGGTGGTTGGGTGATGGACATTGGGCAGGGTATGTGCTATGGTGAGTTCTGTAAAATGTGTAAGCCTGATGATTCACAGACCAGGGCAAATAATACATTATATGTTAATAAAAATAACTAAAAAAAAGAGATTTTAGGTTCTCAGAACTTAAAAGTGGTTGAAATTGTTGTCAAGAAAATATTAAACCTTTTGATTTTGTAATTTAAAATATCGTAAAACCTATAGATGTTAATGGGTTGTGATTACTAATTCGAGTTTGCTTACATAATGTTCTTAGGGTCCTTTTTCTGTTAGTGGCTACAGCAATTCAGACCACATATGTCCCTAACGCATTTTGTTGCTAGGAGAGGAATTCTCCGTTTCATGATGTATTGGAAAATACCGTGTTACAGTTCCCTGAACAAGAGGCTTTAAGTACATCTTACGGTTCAAATGATCCCATTCCTTTTTTTTTTTTTTTTAATTTTATTTATTTATTTGACACAGAGAGAGCAAGATCACAAGTAGGCAGAGACGCAGGCAGAGAGAGAGGAGGAAGCAGGCTCCCTGCTGAGCAGAGAGCCCTACGCGGGGCTCGATCCCAGGACCCTGAGATCATGACCTGAGCCGAAGGCAGAGGCTTAACCCACTGAGCCACCCAGGTGCCCCCAAATGATCCCATTCCTATAGTGAGTAGCTCTCTAGTAGCTCTCTAGGCTGTGACAGTCTCGCCTGTCTCATAACTGCAGTGTTATCTCCTGAGTCCTGGACGCGGGCTGGGTGTGGCAGTCTTTGTCAGAGGAGGGTGTAAACATCTGTGGCCAGATTAAACCAGATGTGAAATCCCACCCTTGAGATTGACCAAAAGTGGTACGCCTTCCTGAGTTAGCAGGTGGCAGGAATGTGGGAGAGGGACACTGGCTGCTGGGGCGTGTGCCTGCGTGGGTGTGTCTGCTGGGAAGTGTGTGTATGCATGCATGTGCTGGGGTGTAACTGTGTGTACGTGTGTGATGGGCGTGTGTGCGTGTGTGTGCATCTGCTGGTGTTTGTGCATGTGCATGTGTGTCTGCCAGGGCGTGTGTGTGCGTGCGGGTGTGTGCCCACACGTGTGCATGCATCTGCAGCATGGCCCTCGGAATGTGCTGGGCTGGAGCCCATAATGCAGGTGGCCCCCTGGACTCGGGGACGGACTGGACGTGTGGACTCCGGGGCCCTCAGCAGGAGGAGGCTCTCCTGACTGTGCGGAGTGTCTGAGCAGGAGCCTCTGTGTTCGCTCAGCAGCCGGCTGTCCGGGAGGAGCGGCTCGGCGGTAGAGGGGCCACCAGGCCTTCCTGTGCACGGGTCCCCGCACGGCGCGAGCACAGCTGCGGGCTGTCACGGTCTAAACTGCAAGGCCCGCACGAGCGGTGCTTGTCCGTCTCCGATTCAGGGGTGTGTGTGGAGAGGTACGCAACCGGTCGGAGCACGACCTGCAAGCCCTGGTGGCTGCGGGCGGGATGGGGTGGGTCTAGGGATAGCCTGTGAGCTCCGCTCCTCAAGCCGAAAACGGTGGTAGTCGTCTGAGGTCGTCCCGGAGCAGGATTGTCTGCCAACGGATCCCTCAGATTGAAGAGTTTCTCACGCAGCGAACAAGGAAGAGCCCCTGCTGGGAGGGGTGTCCAGGAAAGGGGCCCCGCCCCAGTCTGCCTCTACGTCCCAGCCCTGCCGTTGCCCAAACTGCCCTCCTCCTCATTCCCCCAGCTGGGGGGCTCTAAGCACGTCTTACAGAAGGATGTTGCCGGGCTTCCGGGTGTTTTGTGTGGGGCGGCCTTGTGGTGGGCCTGCAGGTTAGCCCCGTCCCGAGTGCCCTGTCCCGAGTGCCCCGTCCTGTCAGCCCCTGTGCTCTGACGTCATTTACTTGATGTGCAAAATGAGCTCAGGGGGCTCAGCTTCTGCCTTCGGCTCAGGTCATGATCTCAGGGTCCTGGGATCGAGCCCGCATCGGGCTCTCTGCTCGGCGGGGAGCCTGCTTCCCCCTGCCCCCACCTGCCTCTGTCTACTTGTGATCTCTGTCAAATAAATAAATAAATCTCTTAAAAAAATGAGCTTTAAGACACAGTGTCATAAGAACCTCCTGTTGCTGGTGTTGACACGGCATCGTTTGCAAATTTAAAAAAATAATGTTTTTTAGTGAATCAGTTCAGTATTCCTAGAAACCTAATTACTGATCTGTCAATGAATCTGAAAAGTGATATGTTTTAAGTTTCTGTGCAAAATAGAGCAGAAGTCCTCTGAAACATCTTTTACATATCTGAAGCAGTTGTGAAAATTTGCTTTTGCTCCAGGTATAGGTCTCTGTGTTTACAGGAAAGTAAAAACCTTCAAAGCAAATATTTACAGAAAATATCCTTTGGTGTCGTTGGTAAAGGTGCTAATGCTGTCGGCCGGCCGGCTCGGTGGGCTCGCGCTGTGGAGCCCTGCCGTGCGCCTGTGCAGCGCTGAGACTCGGTGTGGCCTGAGGCCTGCGGGTGCTCTTTGGAACGTGTGGACTGTGAAGGGCTCAGAAGTGAACCTCCAGGCCGGGCGGACGAGGGTGGTGTTTGCGCATATGGAGGCTATCACGAGGCAGAGCCTGTGAAGTGGAGGAAATGCCACTGGTGTCTGTGGAGCTTGACACCCCCCCCCACCCCCGCAGGGTCCCGTGCCCGGCCCCAGGAGGCGGGTCCGCTCCAGGAGCCGGGAGCGCGAGGCGTGGTGACTCCGGCAGGCTTTGTCCACGCCGGCAGTGCGGCAGTGACCACGAGCCTGGGGGTGGGTCTGCTTCTCCCCGGGGTGCTCAGGCCCTTCTTGGGAAGGCACGGGCTTGCCCTCCCCGGGCTCCGGGCACCGTGGCCCGTGCACACTCCCTTTTTTCTCACTGCCTTTTGAGGCCATCAAGGCAAGGCCTTTCTTTCTGTATTTTGAATTTTTATCATTCCTACTTCATTTGATTTTATTATTTAATATGTAAAATAAACTCATTTTACCATTTTTGTTCACTGTTGTATGCTCAGCACCAAGGACAGAGCAGGCACGGAGAACTCTTAGCAGACACTTGCAGGAATGAGTATTTCTGTTCCCTGGGTGTCCTTCCTCTTTGCTTTGTGATAAGGTCACCTGTGAGTTCAGAGAGGGGGCAGTGTCCTCCCCAGGCATTTCTCTTCCTAGAAACGGAGATGCGGTTCTCCTCCTCAAGGAAGAAGAGTGTTAGATTGCTTTAGATTTCTTTATTCTGGAGAGAGTGTGGGTGTGCACAGGGGTGGGTTTGGGGAGGGGCAGAGGGGGAGAGAGAATCTCAAGGCGACTCCGCACTGGGGCTCAGTGCCACGACACAGAGGCCTGAGCCAAAACCGGGAGTCACATGCTCAGCAGACTGAGCCCCGGGGAGTGTTGGATTTCTGAACTCGTTTTGCGATACAGAAATGCCGGAGCACTTAGGAGACTCTAATTGCCACAGTACTGCAGTATTTCAAGAACTGCTCTCCCCAGACTCTGCAGTCCCACCAGAACATTCCGTAGGCAGGCAGGCAGCCCCCAGGGTCTCGGGGCAGGTTGTGATACACCTGGGCCCCTGCACCCCTGCCCCCTGGACACGGACACAGCCGGAGGGGCTGGTGGGTGGATGAGTCAGCGATTGTGGCCACGCGGACACCTTCCGGCTTAGACGTGTTTGCAGCTGACCCACAGCCCTAAGGTGGGTGAACGATGAACGTCCAGTTAGAGGCATCATCGTCCTACAACTACCCATTTAGTCTTACTGCAGAAGGGAACTAACCTGTTGCCTCCTTGCGTTGCAGGCGTGGTGTCCTTGGTAGCTGTCCACCCCTCCGCAGTGAGCACGCTGGGGAAGCAGCTGTTGCCAAAAACATTCGGACAGTCCAATGTCAACATTGCACAGCAAGTGGTAAGGGGCCCGGGCAGGCGGGCTTGCCGGTTCTGGACGGTGGCCCATAGCTCTGGTGCGGAGGTTGGGGTGCGTGGTCTGCCCTCCGCAGTGCCCTCTCGATGTTTGCACTGCTGGGATGCGTGTGCACTCCCCTGGCTCAGGCCTGCTGCAGACACAGGCCAGGCACCGTCCCTCCTGCTACGTGTGTCCCGCTGACCCCAAGTCTGCCCCAGAGCGTAGAGTGGTGTGAGGGTGGCAGTGCCTGGCCTTGACCCTCCTCAGCGTGGGCGTTACTGCCTGGGAAACAAGGGTGGTGTCCTTGCAGGGTACATGGTGGGCGTAGGGCTCTGTAGGCCGTCAGGGCGCTGGGACCGGAATGCCCCTGCTGTGGCTCACCCTCTAGGAGGGGGCCGAGGTGGGTCTGTGCTCCTGGACTGTGCTAGGTGCCCCACTCCCTGATCACCTGTGGGGCTCCTTGGCTCTTCCTGGCGGAACCCTGGTCAGATTGAAGCCTCCCCTCCTGCTGGGCCTCGAGTGGCCCTGCGAGGAGGATGTTGGCTGCCCAGCTGTGCTTGTCCAGCCCTGAGCTCCCACTTCTGGGTGAGCAGCCGGGGCAACTGTGCGTGTGCCTGCCACTTCGCCCCCATCGCGGGGTGTGACTGCTTTTCCCAGCAGAGTTGCCGTGATGTTTTTCAAAGCAACGCTGTGTCAGTTACACCATATTTGGCTCATCACAGCTTTTTAGTAAACATCTTTTTGATAAAGTTAAATATTTCGTTCTATGTTTTATTCTGCAACTCGTGTTATTTTTAGCTGCCGCGTGTCGTAGCAGCTTTAGCTTGGGTGCACCTCCTCAGTCGCAGGAGTCGTTCTGTCGGGTGGTTGTAAGTGTAGGGAGGAGAGTCAACACGCAGGTTTGTCTGTTGGCGCCTTAAACTCTGTCAGCCTGAAAGTCACGTCCCTGGGCTGAGTCCGCCTGTTTTGGGGCAGCTGGTGCCGGCAGTGCCTCCCGCGCAGGCCCCAGCACTGTGAGCTGCGGCTCACACGTCGCCGTGTCTCACACGTCGCCCGCCAGGGGGTTGAGGATGGAAGGACTGACGCGTTGTGACCTTGAGGGGCGTGTGAGCTCGGCTCGCGCTCATGAGGGGCTTCAGCCCCTGTCCAGGGAGTCGGTGCCCACGAGCACGGTGCCCAGGAGCGCGGTTAGGACGGGGGAGGAGCGGAGAGAGAACAGCTCCCTGTCACCCAGGGAGCAGTTCCGGAGCGCCTGCTGTGTGCCTGGCCCCCTGACCTTGCTGCTTCTTGTGGGCCAGTTGTGCAGACAGGTCCAGCTTGGGGAGAGGACGAGAGCATGGGTGCTGGCTGTGGGGGCCCAGGCCTCACGTCAGGCAGCCCTCTGGTGACTCTCCTCCCTGTCTGTGTGGGTGCTGGTGTCCTAAATCCACTCTCCCGGGAGCGTCACCAACCCAGTCCCTGTGAAACGTGTTCAGTAAGTGCCAGACTGACCGGTTTCCGCGTGTCCCGAACCCTCGGCTCTGAGCCTCAGCTAATGCGCCTTTTCCACGGTGAGCCCAGGCCCTGGAACGCACGTCCCTGTTGAGCAGAAACGGAAGGTTCAGGCAGTGCGTCTCCTGCCTGGAGACCTGTTCGCTTTTCTGTCCTTTTTCCGGAAAGCTTACTGTCTGACTTCATGACTTTTGAATGAATGAGGGTGACGCACAGTTTGGAAAACACTGTGATGAAACTTTAATCGTTGGAAATGTGAATTGAAAGAATGAAATTGAGAGTTTTCTTTCTGTGGTTTGTGGTCACTGGCCCTGACCGGTGGCCTTATCTAGGACCAAGTGCCTGGTCAGCTGTCCCCTGGCCACAGGAGGCAGCACATTCATCCTGCTGAGGAGGGGCCCTGGGCACGGCCAGTCCCTGAAGCTGTGTCCCGTCCCTGTGAAGGGCTGTCCCAGCACCTGGTACCCGATGGTGGCTTGCTGGGGCACTTGGCTGTGCAGAACCTGGGAAGTCCTGTTTCTGTACTGATTCCTGGATCAGCTCTTTGGTGGGGTGGAGTCACCTACGAGACCTGAGGACGCTGAGGTGTGACTTGACGGTACACAGCAGCGTCTGTGTGTCCCTTGCGGGAATATTTGCATATTAATGGCACCAAATTCTGAGTCCTTGTTGAAAACAAACGAGGCTCCCTTCCTTGGGTGAAGAGATGGTGCAGAGTGCTCAGACTTGGTCCCCTGCGGTGCGGGTCATGCTGCCGTCCCCAGAGCTGCCTTGCCCTGGCGTGTGGGTCTGTTGCTCCAGTGCTCATCGCCCCCGCGCCCCCACGCTGCCCTGTTCGAGGTGCTGGGTCCCTGCGAAGCCTCCATTGGGACGAGGCCCGCACATGCAGGTGGGCCGATGGGCACCACGAGTGCGGGGACTTTTTCCTATTTGTGTTTTGGCGTTTAGCACCCCCTGGGAGAGAGGATTTCATCCTTGTCCGCATCACTGAATGGAAGGGAAAGTAAACTTGGGCCAGGGGAACAGTGGGAACGTGCCCTGAGGCTGGCTTTGTGGGCCCCTCCTCGAACCACAGCGTCCCCGGGGGTCGCCGTCTGGCGGGCTCGTCGGGATGGGACGGTTCCTGGTGCTTTTGTTGGACCCGGGAAGACCCCGGGAGTCGGCGAGGGGAACGGCTCGTGCCGCACAGAAGTGCTGCTCGCCGGCGTCTGGCTCTCGGTGTGGGCCGTGGTGCTCGCGCGACCATGTTCTCGCGGTCCCCGTGGCTGGCGGAGCTCGGCAGTGCCCGTGGAGGATGGGAAGCGGTAAAACGGCAGGGGCGCACGCGGGAGATGTCTCATTGTGTTCTGAATTGTCTCTTTTGACTGTAGGTAATTGGTACGCCTCAGAGACCTGCAGCGCCCAACACTCTGGTGGTAGGAAGCCCACACACCCCTAACACTCACTTTGTCTCCCAGAACCAGCCTTCAGACCCCTCACCTTGGTCTGCCGGGTGAGCACATCGCCGAGAATCGCAACCCCGGCTCTCCGGGCCACGCGGCCGGCCGTCACGCCCGTGTAGACGGCGTCAGGGCGCGCTTCTCGCGGAGGAGAAGTCTGGCTGCAGGGGAGCCGCTCCCCGCGGTCCGGGGGTGGCGGCACTGTGAGGGGGCAGCTTGCGGTGGAGGAAGAGGAGGAAGCTGGCTTCTCAGCACTGCGGTGATGGGCGCTTTTTCCGTTGTCTGCACTGGGAAGTAGCGCCTAGGGGACAGCGTGCACGTGGGCAGCTCTGGCTGCCGTTCCTTGGGCGACACCACGGGAGGGTCCTGCCACACGGTCACCTGGACCCTGTCTTCCCTGTAAAGCAACCTCGTGAGAAAACGATTTTACTCGGAAGTCAGCTCTGTGACTTTCCTTGAAAACAAAAACAAAGCTTTTTGGATTTACATCTGTATTGGTTCTAAAGCAAAAATCGTAATTTCCCGAGTCATCGTGAGAAACTCAGAGCCACCCTTTCCTTGACGTGGTGCCTTAAAAAGTTGAGCCATTGGGTTTCCCGTGCTCTGAGGCTCACTGCGGTCTTCAGGGTCGGGTGCCCGCCGCCACATGGCCGTCATGGTCTCCACACCGCTTTGGCTCGCAGCCAAATTTTCCGTAAAAGTTCTTAAATTTGCGGTAAAATTTCCATAGTTCCTATGTCCGTGGACATCTTTTTAAGAAGCAGCGTTGGTGTATCAGGACGCGGTAGATACGCACCGGCGGCTCCTGCCCTTCCAGGCGAGGCCCCGTGTTTTCTGGGAGCGGATGCAGATAGGAGGCCTGGCCACTTAAACGTTGGTGTCTTGGCCCCGTGGCTGTGCCCAGTGCGCTCTACAGACGAGCTGGGTCCCCGGGGCTGCGCGTGGGGTCTCGGCCTGTGCCCAGCTTGCTAGCCTTGTGGGTGAACATGTGTCCCCCGGGGGCCGGCGTGGGGGTGCTGAGGGCACTGCTGTTCCTTTGTGTTTTCTAAGGAAGCGGCACAGGAAAGGGGAGAAGAACGGGAAGGGCCTGCGGCACTTCTCCATGAAGGTGTGCGAGAAGGTGCAGAGGAAGGGGACCACGTCCTACAATGAGGTGGCCGACGAGCTGGTCGCAGAGTTCAGTACCGCCGACAACCACATCCTACCAAACGAGTCCGTGAGTATGTGCCGCGCGGCGGGTACACACCCCGGTGCCGTACGGCCCGCCCTGGGTTTCTCTGAGGCCACTGGAGACAGTTCAGAGAACAGTCTGAAAGGCGTCTGCAGACCTGTTCACAGCACGACAGCTCATCCTCCCGGATGTGGTCGTGCGCGGGGCCTGGCTCCCAGCGGGCTGGCCCCCCGGCACAGCTCCCTCTTCCCCGGGCTCAGTGGGGATGTGCTGGGAGCGTCCCGGACAGTGTGGAAAGCTCATGCTCCGTGCCCAGCAGGCTTACGACCAGAAGAACATACGACGGCGCGTCTACGATGCCTTGAACGTGCTGATGGCCATGAACATCATCTCGAAGGAGAAGAAAGAGATCAAGTGGATCGGCCTGCCCACCAACTCGGCTCAGGAGTGCCGGAATCTAGAGGTGACGCGGCTCAGCTGTTTCCCATCACGCCCCTGTACGTTTGTCCCAGAGCCGGTGTGCGTCCCGAGGGTGCCTGCTCAGGGTCTGGTGCGTGTGTGCCTGGCCCGGTCCAGGGCTCCGCCGCTTGCCCACCGGACATTGGTGTGCCGCCTGTCCAGCCTGCCTGCGCTCTGCGGGCACCGATGAGGAGGCGTCTGGCCCACCGTGGGCAGCGGACCCCAGCGTAGGAAGTTCTGAATCCTGGCTGGTGGGGTTCAAGTTTTACAGCGTCGTGTCCAGAAGACGAGAGAAGGTGGAGAGGAGGGTACAGCGAGAGACGGAAGAAACCCCTGTGGGTCCCGTCCCCATGCCTGGTTGGCTCTAGGTTGCCTGTTTCCCCTCGTTAGATTGGGGCAAAGGGTTCCGCAAGCTCGTCCCTAGGGGGTGCTGGTGGCTGTGTCGTGACGCCGCCGTCTTGTTCTGAAGGTGGAGAGGCAGAGGCGGCTTGAACGGATCAAGCAGAAGCAGTCTCAGCTCCAGGAGCTCATCTTGCAGGTACGGGCGCTGCTCCCCGCCGGTCTGGCCCCATCCTGCTGCCACGGTGTCCCCTGTGCCCCTGGGTCTGCTGCCCGGACGCCTCAGAAGGTCCCGAGCAGCGTGCTGGCGCCACGTTCCGCGCTGCCTCGTGTGGGGACGGAGGGCGGGAGGGCGCGTCCACACGGCCCTTCCCCGCGTGTTGTCCTAGCTGTTAGGTGTTACCGTTGTTCACCTCCTACGGGCCCTCGCGACGAGCTATCCTGGAGCCCAGGCGTGGGGCTCAGCACTGTCTGCGGCCTGGGCGCGTGTCTGGCGCGGACGGCCTCTGCACTGAGAGCTCGAATGCGGTTTCACACGCGGGCACTGTAGACGCTTACAGGGAGCGCGCGTGCGCGGTAAGCCCACGGGCTGCGTGCGTGCTGCTCGTCCAAGTCTAAACGGTGGGAGGGACTCCGCTCGGAAGGCAGCGCCCGGAGCTTCCCTGGGGCAGGAATGCACTCTGAGGACTGGAGCCCAGACCAGGGTGTGAGGTGGCAGCTGTGGGGCAGAGGTCAGTGTGCGTGGCCAGTAGACCTGTGTCTCCGTCCCCTGTACCTGCAGAGGACGTCCCCAGTATGGGCGTCTTCCCTGCGGGGATCTGGAGATGCCCATTCAGGGCTGGAAGCAAAAACACAGATTGTACCAGGAGCTAGCTGGAGGGCATGGCCAGTCCCTGGCCTGAGGCCGTGCAGTGCTGGGGCCGTCTGGCCAGGGCCTCGGGTTGGGTTCAGCCGCCGTGGAAGTGGCTGGCCAAGGAGGGGAGCAGGGGGGAGCCCTGGGACCCTGGAGGGACGTGTAGCAGGGTCTGAGGACAGGCCTAGTGGCTGGTGACAGAAGATGAAGGTGGGGGCGTCAGCGAGGGGCTTGGGACGTGTGCTGGCTCAGTACCCCCAGGCCGCGATGGAGGGTGTGTGTCTTGCCTCGCTAGGTGCGCTCAGCCCGGGGCACCGCAGCCAGCCCCTGTGCCCTAGCGGAGGCTTCGGGGTGGGGAGCGCTCCAGTGGGTGGAAGCGGCCTCGGGGTCGAGGGGCACAGGAGAGGAGCGGGCACACATCACCGGGCAGTGGTCCCTCTTTCTTCGCTCAGTTCTCTGCGGCATCTGCAGCACACGGAGCTACTTGAAACCAAGCCTCATGGTCCCCCGCAGGGCACGGTGCCCTGGGGGCCAGCTGTGGTGGGAGGGGCGCCTTCTGGCTTTACCGCAGGGGAGTTCGCGTGCAGGGGTGAAGTGTGAGGGCTTTCCCCAGGGAGAGCGCCGTGCCGGCAGGTGCTCCGTGAGGCACCGGGTGCTCCGCCGAATGTCCACCTTCTTGGATGCGGAATGGGCAGGAGGACGGTAGCCTCCACGGCCTCCAGCGTGGATGCTCTTTCCGCGACCCGCCGGGGAGGGGTTTCTGTCCTATCTGCGTGAGCACCTGCCACCCGCCTCCACTCCCCTCGGGGTGTTTGGTGTTCGGGCGCACTCACTCCCTCCCCCGGCGGATCGCTCTGAGCTCTCGAGGGGCCTGACCCCTGTTGCTGCCCTGTGGGGTTGGGCAGGGTTGTCAGGGACGCCCACGGACAAGGCTAGGTTGCCGGCGCTGGTGTGAGTGGCCTGCTGGTGGCTCATCTCTTTTAGCAAATCGCCTTCAAGAATCTGGTGCAGAGGAACCGGCAGGCGGAGCAGCAGGCCAGCCGGCCGCCCCCGCCCAACTCCGTCATCCACCTGCCCTTCATCATCGTCAACACCAGCAAGAAGACCGTCATCGACTGTAGCATTTCCAATGACAAGTAGGTCCCGTGACAGGTGCCCACCCCTGCCCCGGGGCCCAGCTGAGCCTCAGGTCGGTGGAGAGCGCCACTGTCACGGTCCGTGGCACGCCTGCTCATTTCGTCAGAGAAGTATCTGACTTGTCGTTCCTCGACATCTGGCGCAACAAAGTTACAGTCTTCTTTCTCACACCCCTGGTTTCGTGTTTGTCTTGTGAAAGGAAGACCTGGGGCCCGTCAGGGTTGTTACTGGCACAGCCGTCGAACCCTGGTGTGGACAGTGGCTGGCGTTCCGTGCCGGCCGGGGGTGCAGGCAGCCCGTCCCACGCGCGGCGCCTCTGTGACGCTCTAGCGCTTCTGAGTGCATGGGTTTTGGGGGACGTGGGTAAAGAGGGGGTCTGAGGGAGGTTGGCTGAGTGGGGTGTCTCTGCTTGGGGCCCTGTGCCGCGATGAACACGGCCAGTGACACCTTTTCTGACGGTGACTTTGCCCCCAGGTTCGAGTATCTCTTCAACTTTGACAACACGTTTGAGATCCACGACGACATAGAGGTCCTGAAGCGGATGGGGATGGCCTGCGGGCTGGAGTCCGGGAGCTGCTCTGCTGAGGACCTGAAGGTGGCGAGAAGCTTGGTGCCGAAAGCGCTGGAACCTTACGTGACAGGTCTGTCGCCTCCGGTTCTCTTGGTGGCCGTGGGGCCGGACCTCAGGTCTGGACGTGCAGCCCGCCTTTGCTGAGGCCGAATTCGCACTTGGCACCAGGAGTGGGGACAGCTAGATTGGGGGTGGGGCGCCCGTGGGGACCATGGGGTTTTGGGGGTGGTTGGCCCCCCCAGCCAGGGAACCCAGACAAGCCTCTGAGGAGTGAGGTGCTCTGCCTCCTGACGCGGGGGGAGGAAGAGTTTGCTCGGGAGCCGTGTGGGGGACTCCTGTGCTGAGCGGCGCGGTCGGGGCCACAGAGGGCAGGCACTTTGTGGTGAGGAAGCTGCTGGCCCTGCCCCACTTTGTGGTGTGGGTCCCCCCACCCCCAGAGCCGCTGGGCTGGATCGGACCACACCAGCTCCCAGCCGGCGCACCACAGAGGCCGTGGACACTGGCCGTGCTCCTGGTGCATGCCGTCTCCCAGGACGTCGGGTCCTCCCGCCCTCGGCCCCACTTTCCACTTTCTGACAGCGTCCGTTCCGTGGCACAGCTGCATGGTCATTGGTGATCATGTACAGGAAGGTCTGGGTGCCTTCTTGAGAGGATGGCCAGTGTCCCCATAGAGAAACCACCAGCGGGTCAGCTGTCTGGCCTGGACCCGCCTTGTGGCGGCGTGAGCCTCTCTTGTGACCTTTGCTTTGTTTTCTTCTCTTCAGAGATGGCTCAGGGATCCATTGGAGGGGTGTTCGTCACGTCATCGGTGTCGACCTCGAATGGCACGCGGCTTTCTGCCAGGTGACTGTGGCTCTGGGCTGAGCGGGTGGGCAGAGCCCCTGCTCTCCCGCAGACAGTCCGTCCTCCTCCACGGCTCCCGCTGGCTCCTGGCGCGAGGGTGGGACTTCCCCACTGGCCATGCTGTCGGTGTTGGCCGCTCCCGGCAGGGCTCCTCTCAGGCTGTGTGCCCCGAAGGCCCACCGTAGCCTGTACCCTGGGTGACCAGGAGCCTCTTTTTCATGGTTTCTTCCCCCTGAAACTTCAAGTGACACATGATTGACTTTTTAAAAGTAGCATGCAGGGACGCCTGGGTGGCTCAGTGGGTTAAAGCCTCTGCCTTCAGCTCAGGTCAAGATCCCAGGGTCCTGGGATCGAGCCCTGCATTGGGCTCTTTGCTCAGCAGGGAGCCTGCTTCCCCCCTCTCTCTGCCTGCCTCTCTGCCTACTTGTGATCTCTGTCTGTCAAATAAATAAATAAAATCTTAAAAAAAAAAAAGTAGCATGCAGTGACGGGGCCCAAACTGCCTGAGCCCCCTGTAGGCAGCCCGAGGGCCGGGGTTTTCTTCATCTGTGTTTCCCGTTCCTGCTTAACACACTTGAGGTCACACTGTGCATAAAGCTGTGTTCTCTGCTTTTTTTTTTAAAGATTTGATTTATTTGAGCGAGAGAGAGAGAGCATGAGCTGGGGAGGGAGAGCAGCAGAGGGAGAAGCAGACTCCCCACCGAGCAGGGAGCTTGAGCGGGACTCCATCCTGGGACCTGGGGACCCTGGGACCGGGGACCCTGGGACCGTGACCTGAGCCAAAGGCAGACACCTCGCCGACTGGGCCACCAGGAGCTGCTTTTTTTTCCTCTTTACTGTTTATTGGATGTATGTTTTCTGTGTTACTAGAGGAGCTGTACTCCTTAAGTCCGTGTGTGCGAGCCTTCGATCTGGCTGTGCCACAAAGCAGAATTGTATCGTTTCTGCGTATTTATCTTAGGTTTTTTAAAGACGAGTATAAGATGATTTCTGTATTAAGTATTCACGAAACAGCGGTTTTATTAGCTTTCATGTCATGTCATATTATATGTGTTACCTTGTATCAACTCTAGATGTTAATAGATGTTTAATTCCTTAACATACGAGATGGATGAGCAGTTGTAGGTTCAACAGAATGGATGGATATGCCAGCGGGTGGCGCGGTGCGCCGTGGCCAGCTCGCGCTCCAGGGTTCTGGGACGTGGGCGAGGCCCCGGGCCTGTGTTGCCGGATGGTCTGGCCGTGGGGTCGTCCCTGAAGTCCTTTGGGAGGTGTCTGGCCCGAGACCAGCTCCGTTTTTCCCGGTAGCCCGCCAGCTGTGTGTGCGGTGTCGGTCTGCCGTGCTGCCCAGTGGGCGTTCCCCGAGGCGCGACTCGGGTGTTGACTCAGGTTTTGAGTCACTCCAGCTTTGTAACAAGGCGAGTAAATTCACCACCGTTTCAGAAGAAAAATCAGTGCAGAGACTGGTGTTATTTTGTGAAGACAATAATTTCTTGGGCAGTTTGGTGTTTCCTGCTCACGAGAAAGGATGCAGTGTGAAGCGGCTTTATGGCTGAGTTTTTACCCTTTCTGACTTTCTTGCTAGGCTGGATTTCACAGATGTGTAGTTCCTTTGTCAACGACTGGAATGTTGAACAGTGTTTATCGTATGATGTTCCTAAATGCTAGAAGGCATTAAGATATATACATATGGTTGCATGTTAAAGAAAAGTGTTTCTTGGCGCTCGAGCTCTGGCCTGTGGCAGGTGTGGGTGCCGTCCACCTGGGGCTCCCCTCTGTGTTGCCCGGTGAGAGCCGTGCCCGGAGCCCACGCCCCAGACTCCCTCTCTCTCTCGTGTAGAGTAGCCGCGTCTCCCAGGCGGTTCTGCCCTTCTGGGTCTGTCCTGTTGAGGCAGCGGCAGGGCCCTTCCAGTGGAGTAGCAGAGCCTGAGGCTTCTCCTGGGTGACCCCGAGCCCCTCTGTGCTTGTGGGAGGTGCCTGCCTGGAGTCTGGAGGGTCTCTGTTGAGCTTTAAGTTCTAGACTCGCATCCCTTTAACATGTGATGTTTCTTAGAATACGTTTTTTTGCTGCCCAAATACTGAGAAATCCCCGTGACTTCTGATGAGAACTCTGTGAGCGGGTCCCACACGGGGACACGTGCACTTTGGGGGTGAGGCTGTCGGCACCGGGGCCCCAGGGTGCTGTCTGACGGTCAGTGTCTGGGCCACTCTGCCAGGTGCTGGGAGGTACCTGAACCCAGAGGTCTTTCCTCAGGATCCCAGCAGAGAATCTCTCGGTTGTAGGCCAGGGCCTTGCCTGAGGCGCTGTTGACACTGGGGCCGGGTGCCTGTCGTGCACGTGGCTCCCTGGGGCTTAGATGGCAGTAGGCCCCCCGAGTCGCGATAGCGGAGATGGTTAGGTGTCCCCTGCTGAGATTCCCAGGGGCACAGTGGCAACATTGACCGGTTCCAGACGCCCATCCGAGGACCAGGGTGTAGGGCCGAGCAGCCCTGCTTCCCAGAGGCGCCAGCCCTGCAGCCCTGTCCCCCGCACCCCTGGGCTCTGCCCTGCCAACCTCGCTGCCTTTCAGCGAGAGCCATTTCCTGGGCTGGCGGACAGCTGTGGGCTTCTCGCAGAGTGTCTGGATGAGACTCACCTGTCACAGCTCAGCCTCCTGGGCTTGGCGCTGGCTCCGGGGGAGTGGAGGGTGTCGTTGGCACGTGTGTGCACACCGCATCACGCAGCCACACGCATAGACCCCACACCTGCACGCATGCGCGCACACAACACGTGCACAGTCATGCACACGGGCACACTTAAGCAACACGTGCACACACGTAGACCCAGCACGTGCACCACACAGTACATGTGCACCCGTGCACAGGCACATGCACACGCAGACCACACGCGCGCACACATGCCCTTGCGTACATGCCTACACACCTAGTTGGGTGCTTCCCACACGCTGCTGGCTGGGAGCCTTGCTTTTTGGAGGATTCCTGTCCTTTCCTGGGGCCCCTTTTTCCTAAGCTGTGCCCCTCCCCCAAGATCCAGGGTGTCACAAGTACACAGCCTGGAAGAAGGAGCTGTGATCTCCAGCTTCAGCGTGTGGGGTTTTGTGTGTGACGTGATCACCAAGCCCGCGGCAGCCGGTGCTGCTTCGGTTCTGTACCGCGGAGGCTGGGCTCGGGTGCCGGGTGCGCTGGTGCGGACGTGGGGCTCCCCGCTCTGCCTGACCGCCTTGTCTCGCCTCGTCCTCACAGTGACCTGACCAACGGTGCGGACGGCATGCTGGCCACAAGCTCCAGCGGGTCCCAGTACAGCGGCTCCCGGGTGGAGACCCCCGTGTCCTATGTCGGGGAGGACGAGGAGGAGGACGACGACTTTAATGAGAACGAGGAGGAGGACTGACGCCTGCCTGCGGCCCACCCTCGCGGTCTGCGTCGGGAGCACTGGTTCGGGAGCGGCTGCTTCTGCTGTGGGCGTGTGTTTCTTTCTGGCCTCCTCCCCGGGACCCGGTGGCGAGCTGCTGACCGGCCACGCGGCTCCGGCGAGCAGGCGAGGGCCGTGTCCCGCGGGGTCTCGGGGTGAGCGGTGGGGTGTCTCCACGCCAGTGGTCGCTCGGGCCCCTTCCTCACTGTCTAGGGTTGTGTCTCCATTGTCTGTCCCCATCCAGCCTTCCCTTTGCTCCCCGCCCTTGCCGAGCGCGCCGGAGCACTGGTGTGCCAGCCGGGTCACCAGGGCGGGTTGCGCGTGTCTGCCGGGGTGTGCGGCCCCTGCTGATGCCGGCCCGTCCCGGGGCGTCGGGGGGCCTGGTGCACGGCGGCTCTGCTTTTCCTTGTTCGGCACCGTCAGCTGTATCGTGACTATTTTCCCTTAAATTATATTGACTGTGATTCCGTCCAGTTTATACTTTTCTCTCCGTTGCAGCAAATTGCGAAGTTCTGTTTCTGTTTTTGTTCGTTCAGAGTCTCCTGCCGTGCTGCTGTGGCGGCGACCGTGGCGGGAGGCTCGGGCGCGCGTGCCGCTGGGGAGGCCGCCTGATTTCTCCCAGGCGGGCATGACGCTGGGGTCGTTGTTCACAGGCCAGCACGTCTGTCATCTGAGGACACGAACTGAAACAAACGTCTTTGTTCCGTGGCCGCCTCCTGTAATCTGTGATGAAGTCGACATTAAATAGAGAGAACATTCTAACAGTTTTTTAACTCAGAATTTGTCAATCATTTTTAATAGTTCTTTTTTTATAAGAAGAAAAAGGAATTTCAGGACAGGCAGTAGTCCCTTTTAAAATTTATTCACAAAGACCCATTAACCGCACAGTTGCCGTCAGCTGCCTGTTCTAAACAGTAGTCTTTTTATTGAAACACAAATAAACTTTTCTGTAATATTTTATGGAATATAAAGAGACTTTAATTGTTTGACTTGTTTAACTTGGCACTGTTAGTTTTTATTAATAAAACGCGCATGGGCATTTTAAACAAGTTCTCTGCTCCTCTACTTCCAGATTCTTGTCCACGTGTCACTCTGTCTCCCGTGTCGGTCTTGCTTCTCACCAGGCGAGGGCAGGCGGCCAGGCCGGACAGGGGCCCGGGGCACACACCGAAGCCCGCCCTCCACTGTGCGCTCTGTGGGCACGGCCCCGCGTCCCTCCCGGGTCCTTGCAGTTGAGACAGGGTCGGGGGTTTGGCATTCAGGCGCGAGGTCGTACGGTGCGGAAGGACCACAAAGTGGTGTGGACGGTGGAGGACTGTCGCCTGTGCGGGGGTGTCTGCGGTGCTGTGGAGCAACGGGCAGCCGGTGCGGTCTTGCCGGTCGTGACCTCCTTCCGCTGTCGAGGGCGGCAGGCGCTGGAGGGTGGTGGCCCGGCGGCTCCGTGCTCACCGGCTGCCACGGGCCCCAGGTGGCCTCCCTGTGGGACCCGTGGAGCTGGCGTGGACGGGGGCCGCTCGCAGAGGGCGCCTATCCTCGGGGTCTGACAGGCTTCCACGCTCAGCTGTATGGGACTGTGTCGCTCTCTGGGAGGCGACATTGCACCTGGTGCTTGCATGGGGTCAGGACACCAGGTCGCGCGGTGGCTGGGGGCGGGGGCGCTCCGGGAGAGCAGGTCGGTTTGATGAGACGCTTTCGTTCCGGGCTTTGGTGCAGGGCCTGGAGTGAGCCGCCCGCACGTCCCTGGGTGGTGGAGGGTGGGCTCGTGTTCCTGGCTTCCTGTGGGGCTCAGCCCGCGTGACGCCCTCTCGCCCCCTGCTCACCTCCTGCAGGTGCGCAGGCTCCCGGGGCCAGCCCTGCTGCGGCCGCGTCCGAATTTCCCTGACGGGGGTGCGGTGGGGGGGGGACTTGAAGAAGGTTTCCAAAGAGGAAGTGATTTTGTTGTTAGGTTTTGCCCTTATCAGAAAAGACATGATTGTTTTACGCAGAGTAAGAGTGACTTTAATGTTTTATTTTTACAGTTTAGGAATTCTGTCCTGTAAGAGCAAACCTTCAGGACTCGTTCTGCCCATTCTCATAAGTCCTGTTCTCTGGGAGCGTGAGCCGTCTCTGCGCGACGCGGTGCCGGGACTGCGGTGAGGAACGTGCCGTCTGCCTGAGCCGGCCTCAGGGCCTGGTGGTCGGGCAGCTGCTGCCTCGCAGTTACCACGTTGGCCCAGGTTGTTACCGCAGCTCTGGATTCGGGGTCGAAGGGAGAAAAGAGGGCGCGAGAGGCCGCTGACTCTCCCCGAGGTGCTCGGGGCACAGGTGCCTGCCGGCCGTTCCCTGGGCGGGCCGCGGAGCGCTGGAGGCCTGGTGGGGGGCAGCAGGGGCCCGTGGGGCAGGCCGGCCTCCCCCTACTGCCGAATGTTGAGCTTGAACTCCACTTTCCCTTCGTAGGGGTCGTGGGGGTTGTTGAACGTCACGTGGTCGGCCAGGATCTTGCACACGACGAGGACCTCCGTGTTTCTGGGGACATTGAGCAGCTTTGCGGCGACCAGAGGGTTGCTGTAGTGGGGCTGGAGCCCGTGCGGGAAGACGGAGGAGGACAGCATGAGGAGCAGCTTGACAGGGGCCGGTCGGGTGGCAGAGAAGTGGCGCCTGCTGCTCTGCCTGCACGGGGCACGTGCGGAGACGCACTGTCCCCACTGAGGGACGACGGGAGCTCGTCTGGGCTCGGGGGATAACACCAGGGACGAGGTCAAGTGTAGATTATATTTGATGAAAATTACCATGAAGATAGGAAAAACTGAGAGATTTGAAGGCTGTGCTTTAACGTGGATATATGGTTGTCTGAAAGGATTTGGGAAGCTCTGGGAAACTGAAACCATTAGGTTTGGTATTGATGTTTCGCACGGGAGCTGTGTTTTCAGGTGGGGGACACCCAGAGGGCCGCACGGTCCCCCTGGTTCCACTGGTGTAATGGGAATGTCGCGGGCTTTCCTTCGCCGCTCGGTTTGGGACACGTGTGCGGCGGTTGTCGGAGAACTGAGACGCGGCCTACCTGCGCCTTCTTGCCGTAGTAGGGGAAGTAGTGGAGGCTGAAGGTGCCGTTGGGCGGGTAGTACTCCACCTGGAGGGGCCGGGCGTCCTCGTGCGGGTCCTGGGGGCGGAGAGGCCGGCGCCTGAGTGAGGCAGGCTCCAGGCGTCTGCGTGTGTCTGCGTGTGTCTGCGTGTGTGTGAGTGGCCCGGCGGGCGGCTGGAGCTCGGCAGAACACGGACGGAGGACACCCTGTGTCTGTTCAAAGCTCAGGTCAGCACACGTGGGTGGTCCCAGCAGGCACAGCCTCACCCCACAGCGAGGCGGGCGTGGGGGGTTCGGTGCTGCGGAGCTCCCAGTGGGGAAGACCAGCCTCAGAAGAGACTCAGTGGAGACATGTTTGTTTTTTGGGGCTTGTGCTTTAAAACCGGTTTTGAGAAAAACTGGAGGAAATTACTGCTGACTGCTTAGCGGGTTTTTCCAAACTGCCAGCAAACACTCAGAACGGTGGGAGTGCTAACACCGTCCCAGATGCTTCCTGGGCCCGGTGGTGAGGAGATCGCTTTCCTTACTGGTTTTAGTCCCCTGCAGTGCTGCTGGAGGGCGGGGGCTGGGCCCGGGGGGGCAGCCGCAGGGAGCTGAGGGCCGCGGGGAGCTGGGGGCGAGTGGCTCTGGCGAGACCACACACTCACCAGGAGGGCGCAGTCCGCCCTGGGCGCTGTGCCGTTGCTGGGCAGGAAGTTCACGATCTGGAAGGAAAGGGCGTCCGTGTCGCTCTCCCACCGGCTGCGTGCTAGCGTGCAGCCTGTCCGAGCAGCCAGAGCCCTGCCCCACGCGGTGGTCTTGGCTGCCGGCGCATGGCAGGGCTGGGCGGGAGGGTCCGAGCCGTGGCTGGCGCTCTCTGGCGCTCTGCGGTGCCTGTGACGGGGTCCCCTGGGTGCCCGCCTGTGCTGCCCCACGCATACTCTCTGGCCTCCCGGGTCCCGGCCGTGTGTGTGCCTGCGCCCTCCCCACAGTTCTGCCCTGATGCGCATGGCTCCCTCCACCAGGCAGCGTCGTGACCCCGCAGGGACCCTGGAGTGTGCCGTTCAGATGCATGGCTTCCCCAGGTGTCTCAGGAAGGAAGTTTAATCGTGCCGCACACCTGTTGGCCAACACGGAGCAGAGACCCCCCGGCCCTCTTGTCCTGTCGGCTTCCAGTGGCATGTCCCCTCCCCTGCACCCCAAGGCTGGAGGGACCATCCACCCTGTGGCTTGCTGGCACCAGCCCGTTCAGCCTCCCTCGTGCCCGGCAGAGGGTCCCTGGCCCAGATGGGGAACTGCTGCTCGACATGATTCCCAGCCATCCTCGTGGTACCTGACATGGCCCGCTGCTGGCAAGCTGTGTGTGCACGCAGCTGCCCTGAGCAGCCCCAACTCTGAGCTCAGCGTCCAGTGCAGAGCCTGGAGCCAGGGCAGTGTCTGAGCTGTTCAGGTTGGATCTTGGTCAGCTCCCAAGCCAGCACGATGGGCCTAGCATGCATAGCAGAGGAGCAGGGTGGGACGGGCTGCGGCGTGTGTCCCAGCCTTACCAGCCTGGACCCTGTGCTGCGGTGCATGGGGTCACACGAGGGCCAGGCATCCAGGCCCCTCCAGGCCACGGCTGGGTCTGGGGTCTGTAGCCCCACCCTGCGCTCACCCTGTTCATCTTAATGATGAAGCACGGCTTTCCTTCCGCGAAGCCGAAGTTGGGGTCCGTCAGACCCGAGCAGTTTTGCAGCATGTCTGCTGTGAACTTGCAGGAGAACTTGGTGTGGTTTGGGGCCTGGAAGCTTTCCTGGAAGAAGTACTTCTCGGAGGTGCAGTTGATGCTGTCCTCCTGGGAAGCCGGCGAGTAGCCTGCTAGGACAGACAAGCCTGTGGGCGCCGACCTCCGGCCACAGCCGCCTGGTGTGGTGGGGCTGGTGGGAGGGTGGGGAAGCCCGTACCCTCCCGGAGATGGTCTTAGAAGAGGGAAGAGCAGAGGTGGGAAGCGTTTTAAACGTCACCTGCCAGGAAGTTGTGGAGCGTGTGCACGAGGTCCACCCAGGTCCTGTTGTCAGAGACGTTGTAGGAAATGTCCAGGCCTTTCTCCCCGTAGACATCTGGCCTCAAGGTCACCCCTGGAGGGAGAGCACAACACATCTTACTCCATTACCCGCAAAGTGCTGGTCACATCCCAGCCACTTACTGCAGAAATGGCCTGGCCCGGTGGCCAAGCGTGGGCTGCTGTGGTCCTGGCCAGTCCTGGGTCCTCGGGCCCCTGGGCAAGGAGGCTGTGGCCAAGTGTCCTGCAGTAGGAGCTCAGCAGGGACCCGCCCGCCCGGGAACTGAACCTCGTCGCCAGATGAAGTTGTGTTGGAATGCACATTTGAAGCTTCACTGGTTTCGGTCCCATCTGAAAGCCCCCAGACGCCGTGTCAACTGTACGAGAAAAGGAGCGCACATGTGGCATCGGGACCATTGCACAGCTGCTGGGCAGCCTCGCTTGTGTTCACACGAAGACGCGCAAACCGGCATCCCAGATTCGATAGACAGGGTCCTCGCGCTCGGGTCCTACTTGACTTCCATTTCCCAGCGCCCTCGTCGTCAGGCTCAGCTCCTCCCGTCCACGGGGACCGTCGTGTTTGGCCGTGTGCACGTTCCGCAGCTCGGGAAGCCAGTCCCGTTGACGGGACTTTGTAAACAGCCAGCCAGCGCTCTCTTGTTCCACGGATGCTGTGGGAGTAACAGCTGCGCGTGGCTGGAGGGGATCTGACCAAGGAGAGAGCGGGCACCGCTCACGAGCGCCCTCCCCACGCGTGCACCACAGCCGCTCCCCGTGGGCTCACGGCTCGCTCGCTGCGTCGGGGTGGCTGTCGCCCTCTCTCTGCCTCCCGGGGCCCTCCCACCCACTGGGCTTTGGACAGGTCACGTTACAGTTGTATCCTGAGGTTTGTAACGTAGCGTGTTCTGCTCTGAAGCCAGGTGAAACCCTCATGGCTGTCCGTTGGTTGTCTCTAGAAATGA